AAAGAGTGGGTGTAGGTATAAATCACGATGTTCAATCTCTGTTCAGCATCTTATTTCTCTAGATGCTCCTGGGCCTTGTGTCCAGCTAGATAGCTGTATGCCTAGGAGGGAGCCAAGGTACATCTCTTCTGCCACTGACCTGGATCAGTGATGCTGGTAGGAAGGGGGGATCCATCCAAAAGCTCTCCTCTGGCTTATACCATCCCAGTGCTTCCAAAAGAGAGAGAGGGAAAATTATGCCTTTTTGGCCTTTGCAATAGCTGTTTCCCCACTGCTGTTACTCAGCATCCCAAGACATGTCCTTACTTTTCCCCTTTTGCTGTCTGCTCTGTCCCTCTTACCTGCATGCGAGATTGTCACTAAATACCTGTGATGGGAATATGAAGAACTAAGGTGAGCAGAGGAGCAGCAGGAGTTGGGAAAAGATGAAGAAGACTGGGGAGGAGAGCACTGTAAGCCTTCACAGAAAAATCTCTGATCAAAAGCATAATGAAATCTCATTAGATACAGCTGAAAACAAAGACAAAACAAATGGCATAGAAACAAGAGGAGATGCATGAAAAATGCATGAAACAGAGACCGACAAGCCAGAGCCCTCTGTAGCACACGTGATTCTGCCTGTGACCAGCAATTCTATTTTGGTCTCCATTAAGAAGTGGCTGTTACAGCCCAGGCAAATCTGACTCCTGTCACTATATGTAAGATCAACTTTGTCCATATAATCACTCATGTTCGGAAGCCCTGCTTGCCTTGCAAGCTGAGGAACTGTACATGGTCGGGAGACTGGGGGGTACAAAAAATTGCTATTCTAAGAATCTGATTTCTCACATCTATTCAAACATCACCAATCCCTTCCAGCTGTACCTGTCTCTCCAGAAAAGAGACGGAAGAAATTGTTCATAAAACTTGAAGATCTTTACAGATAGGTCCTCCTAGCACCACTCCACCAATGCTGTAGTATTTTTGTGCCTAGGAGATAGACTTCTCTAAATCCCACTGCTGTTCACTGAAGCCAGGATGCTGGACTGCACAACCACAGGCTAATTGCTTTGAAGATTCCCTTAGTCATCTTCCTGGAGTTAGAGCCTCACGACCAAAACTTTCTAGTACTAAGAGGTTTTCTTTGACTGCCTCCCTGAAGCTGATGGGAATGGCTTTAAATCTGCATGACTCCACAAAGGTTTTATATGACGCTTGGTTTTGCTGTGATTACTTAACAGCAGGAACAACATAGTGAAGACCAGTATGAATTAGGGCACTATGTCCTCAGTACAGGGTTAATTGCGTCTATGCCCTCCTTTTCCTGCTGGACCAGTCCTATGCTAGAGTCTATGCAATTACAACAGCTGTTCTTTTCTTAATGTTCCTTTCATTAAGAAAATAAGGAAGTTTTGGTGATTGAAAAACCCCATTCCTTTGATTTGAGAGACATTATACACCTTTATTTATAATCAAAGGAAGTCAGTGAATGAGAGTAATTCCAGGGAGAAGAATGGGTGAGAATGACAGCTTGTGCTTTTATATTTCTTTTTGTTCTTGTTCTGTTTTCCCCTCTCAGAGGACTGCAATCATGTACTCAAGATCCAAAGTGAAAGCCATTATAATAATGCTAATACTATATACTCTTAGTGTAACTTTTACTAATATCTCCAAACGCTCTGCAAATATCGGAGAAGCTAGGCTCAGTCCTTCCTATGGAGCAAGAACATAAATATTTTATCAGTTTACAAATGGGAAACTGAATGTTCAGAGAGGTTTAAGTGATTAGTCTAAGGTGACTCAGGGTGAGTTTCTCCAGATGTGAGCTCCCTCTGCCCACTGCAGACTAACTGGAAACTGAGTAGCCATCATTAATGAGCTGCTGAGCCTGAGCTAATCGGCCCTGTTGAGAGATTATATAGCTTTTGTCCACTTTGAAGCATGGGCAGAATGACTTGTAACTGTCTACAAAAAGCTATGCAAATAATAGCCTCCTCCAGGCAGCAGGCCTGGAAAAAAGAGTCCTCATCTCCTTGTCGCCAGTGCTAAGCATGAGCTGTATGGCCAGGAGGTGACACAGCACACAGAGATGTATGTATAGCAAACACTCACTGCAGAGTGCCAAAACCTTCCAGGGAAGTGTAGTTAATGGACATATTGATAACCTCATCTACGTCCTTGGAAAAAAACAGACCACAGAGCCATGTTGGCCCAGTTTTTATAAGGGCAGTGTTGCCAGCTACAATCACTACACAAATATGTATCAGATTCTCAAAATCACGAAACTAACTTAAAGATTGCAAGATTAAAACAATTTGAGAAGCAGAATGAGAGAAAGAAAAAAGCCCTTAGGATGCTGCAGGGTTAGATTTTTCTCTGCAGCTGAAAGGACTGGCATCTTACTTTGTAACTAAAAAAAATCAGAGCTCTGACTAAAACTTCTATATTTGCATGTATTTTCTGACAGGGGCCAAATTTCAGTGGGTCCCTTTAAATAATGTGAAATTGGAGAATTTTCCTGAATCAGTCCAGTTCCTCTGTCTGCAAATCTGTCTGATGATCTGGAATCTGAGGTTCGGTTTTTTCAGTGTTAGCTGCAAATAGCTCTATCTGGATGGAACCAATACTGCCACTGCCTGCCTCCTTAGGGGCAAGATTTCAAGGCCAGGGCAATCGACCCTGAACCTTTGGCTTGATGCTCTGCACAGCATAAGCCATAGGGTAACACCAGTCATTTCTTGCAACAAGCCTGTGTTCTCTGGTTGGGCTGGAGGCTGTACTAGACCGGAGTTTTAACAATGTAAAAAGCTACTATTCTGACTTGAAAGCATATTAAAGTCACTTTTACTCTGGTGTAGATGACTAAGCAAGCTGCTGAGCCACAGGAAATCAGGCCCAAGGCATTTTCTACGTATTTGTTCTGGCTGAAGGCTCAGAGAACGTGTACAGAGGTATAAATTTACCCATTACCTTCTCCATGACTCTGTATGCTCCAAGACTCTCTCTGTTCAGAGGAGCTTGTTCCTCTTCAGACAATTTCACAACAATCCAATTAGCAACAAAACTTTCTGTCTTCAGTGCCAGATGAAACTACCAGATTATTAGAGGCTCCCACTGGCTCTGACCTGTACTTTACTTAAAAGCAGAGGGCAACTACATCTGTGAAATGAACAGAAGGGACACATTTAATTACTGGCAAACTAACCCATCAGGATTCCCACTCCTGACAGTGCTGGAGGACAGAGAAAAGGGCCTGTGATTTATATGGCAGGTAGAACAAAGAAAGGGAAGGGAAGAGAATAACTACAAGAGTTTTTTCACTGCTAGAAATCACTGCTAATTGGGAAAGGATGCAAAAAACAGCTACTTCATCTGCCAGCCTTTTCCATGCAGTACAGACCTTAGCCACCTTGCATTTTTTTTCTATCTCAGGGATCCAACCCTTTTACCAAACTGTATAATTCTCTATATTGCCCTTTGCAAGGAAGGGGGAAAGGGAAGAACAAAAGGAGTTCAGATTTTTTCTTTATTGTGCTTGAAGGCAGTTTATGTAAGCACCTGGAAAGAACTATTTATTTCTTATTAGTCTCTTTGAAAAGCACTTAATGCTGTTTTAATCCCATAGAAAGGAAATCAGACACAAAGGTTCATGCTGCACTTGCAGTCTCTTTGGCTAGTGACAACACAGGCTCAGTGCTGCCAGTGATGACTGGAAACCAAATTCAGCAGTGAAGGTAACCCACTTGGGGTGCTGAAGTGAAACTGCTGAAAACTGTTCACCCTGGCACGGTGACTCTTTGGTGGCACTAGGGCAACAGGTACATATGCCCCCCAGAGCCTTTCAGCCTGTCCCACCAATGGAGCAAAATATTTGCTGTCAGTGGGTCGTTCCAGGGTGTGCTCCTGCTACTTCAGACCCATGACGTTGTGCAGATGAGGAGACTGATGGGAAGAATTAGGGATGGAAGTTGGCATAGCAACCTCAGGCTTTGCAGTTTCAGGCTTTATATAACCATGAGCAGGTTGGAAAGGTGTGAAAGGGTACTTCCCTCCTCTTGCACGCACAAAGCCTCAACAAACCAACAGTTCACATCCTTAACAGCTAAGCAAAAGTCAGAAATCTGCCAGAGATAGCAAGGACCTCCAAAGCACCCTTCACCCGATCCTTGTCCATCAGGGGACACTCAGGCCTGTCCTGAGAGAGGTTATTAGGTCAGTGTTTTTGGCCACCATCTGCATCCGGGCAAGGGTGCTTTAACTGCAGAGTGTGCTACTAAATAGGATTTATAACACCCTGACTGCTTGACTGCTGTGCTGTAGACACTCAGTAGGCCTTAGAATACCTAGTCTTGCAAATCTCTGTGCTCAGGCCCGAACCACCGAAACGCAGTTCTGTAGCTCCAAGGGCACCGGCACAAAGACAAAGAGCGAGTATGACAGCTTTTTGCTCTCATTGCCAATAGGAAGCATGGAGGTTTTAAGCACTAATCATTTTCAGATCAACAGCAAAGAAGCTCTTTTCTCCTCCCACTATAAGCAAAGGAAGAAGATAAAGAGAAGCTAGGGGTTTTGTTTGCAGAATGAATCTCAAAGTGCCTTTTCCAGTATAGAGCGGTGCATGGGGTTGATCAGAGGTCTGCTTTCTTCAGTTGTCTTGCTCATTGCATCTTCAGTTATGAGTTTTTCAGATACTAGTACCAACTGTATCTGTCATGATAGACATATTTTATTCCAAATACTGAAAAGGACAAAGAGAGAATAGATCCGATGTCCTCACTCTATCAGAACTAATGTAAACTCTTGCCAGCAGGGAGCGCTTTAAAGCGGACAGACAGGCAGCTTGGTCAGAGGTGCAAAAGGGCATCGCACTGAGCCTAGCACATGGCTGCTCGATAACCAGTGCAAATCCCTGTGATTTTATGATAAATCTCCTAACAGCTGATGAGATCAAGTCCCGGATTTGGAACTGTGTGATAAGAGAAAGAAATCTCAGCTTTCATTTAAAGAAGGAAAAGCAAAATAAGCACAAACCAAAGTTTCTAGCCTTACTGCTTACAGAGAAAATTTGGTAAATATTGCTTAAATGAATCCTACAGACCCAATGCCTCAGAAGTAAAGGCAAGTCCTACCTATTTGCAATTAAAAAATAAATATTAATAACTTGCAAGCCAGTGTCATGATTCTGGGAGAAGTGACTCATGCTTCAAAATGCTTGGTGAGGCAGTATTGACATTGCTGCAAACATCTTCCTTGTCTCATTAGCACCTAGTCAGAGGTGCTAGGACTCCTTACATACCTGCTGCTTAAGCATAAGGCCTTGGCTGCCCAGGCCTTAACATTTTGATGTCCCTCAGCATCTTGGCCTTCCAAAGGTGCCCTGTTACGATTGTCAATGAACATAGCCAAGCTTCTTTAAGCATGGCTCATCATGGGGCCTGAGGAGCTTTTGGCTGGACAAAGCTTAGCTAGTCACTACCTGCTCTGTGGCTAGTCTGCTTTTTCTTTAGAGAAATTATCTCTAGCTAGAGTGCAGTTTTCCTGCATTCCAGGCACTGAGCTTCAGGACATTTATTACATGGGTTACCGGAGCAAAGCTAACTCTTAAAAATTCTTTTGGGGTACTCCCAGGCATTTCTCATACTCTAGAAAGAAGACAGCAGAATGAGGTGACAGAGGGAAATGGCAAACTCATCCAGGCTATTCTGAAGGTATACCTCCACACATGCATGTGAAAAACAGAGCATTTAGTTACACAAGCTGCCCTGGATGTCCATTAACAGCTGTTAAAAACAGTGTCTGAAAGTCCACCAGAGATACCAGCTGAAGAGAGACTTGAGATGAAACATAAGGAAGACCACCACAAACTCAGCTTGCAGTGATGGGCTGAGACAGAGGGCATGATCTTGTCTCATAGAAGCAGAAGAGGTCATCCCAGTACCTTGGACTTCCTCGGCCCAGACTTCTGTCTCACAGCCAACCTGCCTGTGGTCGTGGCTCACAGCACTTGTAAAAAAGGATCTGCAAAGGGAAGGGAGGGGAGGGACAGTCACAGCATGCACCACCATCTCCAGAAGAGAGCATATCACAGCAAAGGCTGAGAGTGCAGGCCATGTCTCAACTGCATCCTCTCACCACTGAGGAGATATATGTATGGGAAGAGGCAGGCCACACCATTTTCTTCCTTTGCACCAAAGAACTGGAAGAAGGAAAATGTTCTTCCTAGTGTAAGGAAGCTCCAAATTGCCTTTGCATATGACTGTAGCTTAAAGGTGAAACCTAAGCCTCTGCATCTTTGGCCTCTGTAAACCAAAAAAAAAAAAAAAAGGAAAATAAAGAAAAATACTGATGGCTGCTGGGCCACCACAGCTGACAGACTTGAGCTCTCACTGTCAGAGTGCAGATGCTAGAGCCTGCCCAGAGTAAGCCCAGCCTCACAGGGCTTACAGGGAGGGAGACAGCTATGATCACCAGCACCTGACCTAGTTAAAGCTTGTATGCAGGCAAGCCTGCACTGACAGGTCCTAGGTTCAATGTCTTGGGTCTGTAAACTCACTACAGTCTACTTTTTCGATCACCCCCAGGTTACGACACCAAGATGAAAATCATGGGTAGCCATGAGAATGAAATGGCAGGTACTGTCACTATCCTTTGGTTATCGTTGAAGGAAGCTAGGCAGACCTGAGTCTGCAGTATTTCACTCCTGACTCCACCGAGATCATACGAAACCATAAATAGTTAAGACATACATAACAATCCAGTTTTTAACTCTTGCTTAAGCTAAAGGTTTTATATTCCATAGCTGTCCTATTGTTGTCGTGTAGCGAGGTCCTGGAATACCACATGCAACCGAATATGGGGCTGGAGCTGTCCCTCATTTTTATTTAAACTGTCAGATCATGTTACCACATTGAGACAATAGCCACCTTCCTAACCAATTACCATCTCACCAGACAGACAGTCGGAGACGATGACCACAGTTTTATAAAGAGGAGGTATTGCCTCTCAGGGCTGTGACACAGACCAATGCATAATTCAGGGTAAGTCTGCATTTAGTTTTCTGGCTGATATACATGGACCTTACAGCCAAGGCTGATTTGCTACCTGCTATTTCTCTCAAGTGCCTCTTTAGCCATTGTTGCTTTGTGTTTCTTCCTGTCGTGGCAGGGTTATGAAGTCAAATCCTATGTTTTCGAGAGAGTTACAGGAGACAGTGTAAGCTCCTTTTCACAGTGCTTCATTGCTGTTTGTTAGAAAAAAAAGTGCCAGCTCTGAAAAGGAAGTCATCGGTGGATAAATTTTAAAATGGGCTCAATGGCTCTTCAGCGGGGTGCCTTGCTGGGAGTGACACAGGAACCTATGGAGAACTGGCTTGTTGTTCTCTTCCCCTGTATCTACTGCCCTGAAATCTCTCTGCTCACACAGGGATTTACAAACACTCAGTGCCAGCCATTTCCCTGAATTTGGCCTGATTACCGAAGCAGCCCTCAGATGAAAGGACAGCCAAATTCTTTCACATCTCTGCTGCTTTTTGTTCTCTGCCATTTTTAGGAATACCAAAAGATGATTGCAGACACAACGCTCAGGCATGATGGAGTTGCAGCCCAGTGGCTGTGGGGAATGGCTGGAGCTCTTGCTGTGAGGTCTTTAAGGACCTTTGCAAAACAAGAAGATCCCAAACTGTGGTCTGACAACACCGTTGTTCTGCTAAACCATTTTTTGTGGTCCCTCTTTGGTCAACTGGATGCCTATGAGCATACACTTAACAGGGTCCTGTTTGATACTCAACCCCCCGGCATAGCACTTTTTCTTGGTAAGCTTTGTTTCCAGTAGGACTTGGCGGTAGGGAGGGGGAAATGAGGTGTATTTCCCCTACTTCATGCTCTTCTGCTGCCTTCCTCCACCCAAAACTTTCTTCTCACCCCCTCAGAGTTGACTCCCACCAGTCCCATTCAAAGCTAGGCACTAGTCAACTGGGTGTAAGGCTCTCCTCTTTTTCCCAACAGTCATTGTACCAAGCTGGCTACTGCAGACAGTAAGTGTCAGAAGGAAAACAACCTCATTAACAGAAATGGATTTTTCTCTCCACACAGATGGGCAGTGAATATTTTTAAACATAGTCTCAACAAGAAGTGCTAATTGGTATCACTGTAACCCTACCATCCTTTCCTGTAAGTAAGCTAAAGAACAGATGGATATTATTATGAAACCCTAGGGAGATGGATGTTTGCTTAGTGAAGTGGACACATCTAGCTCTTCTCCAGCACTTAGAAAAGATTCCAACAAAGTAACAGATTTCTGAAAACCCTTCCTGGAGTTACAAGTAACCCTGAGATGTGCAAAACAATGCTAGTTCAAGGGCATCCACCATGGCTGCATCAGCAGTGTAAAGAAAGGAGGTCTATGTAGAGAAGACAGTAAGATCAAGTTTTGGAAAATGCTAACTGATGAAAACAACAAAAAGCACAGCTGCTCAATGGGAGGGAGAAATACAACAGTGGATAAAGTGGATAAATGTGAGAGAAATAGCAGGCAGCAAATTGGTCTGGGCTGTGCAGTCCATGGATGTCAGTGAGAAAACTAAGCGCAAACAATTTGGCCTGCATTGATTTCTGTCACAGCCTTGAAAGGCAATAACCTACTCTTTACATGACTCTGGCTGGCAGCCTTTTGGAATAACGAACTCATGTGTGGTCCCTTCCATACCAGAAAGTTATTGGGGAATGCTGGAGTGTCTTACGACTCCTTAGACCACTATCTTCTCACAGAGGGCCACACCTGCCTATCCTCTCAGCATACCTGGGAGTCCATCCACAACAGTCTGCACAGGGAGAAGTTTGCTTTAAAAATGCCCATTTTGCCTTATTTGGAGGAGGGATTGGACTTGGAGTCCGGGGAGCGTGACCTGAACTGATCCCTGATTATTCAGAGTTGAGGCCCCTAGCACAATTCCTTTCTTCGTGTCTCTCTGGCCTATTGAATGGCTCATGTGGATCCAATGAGGATCTCTGTGGTACATCAGTAAAACAAGGAATTAAGCAGCTTTATATATGTGTTACTCATAATGACTTCCCTTATAAGATCGTAGATAAGCTCCTTTATGATGTCAGTGACTGAAACAAGAACATCTCCTACCTCAGGTACAGATAGATGTTTCTGCCCAAATCAAAGGCAGATGAAGGCAGAGAGGCTTTGTCTATTACTGTTTTGTGAAAGTCTGGGTGCCTGTGAAAAACAGGCAGGAACATTCAGAGAGGCTGAGAGAGAAGGCGGCATCAGACACAGTCTAAACAAATGCAGGGAGAATGGTCCTAAAGAAAGCCTAGAGAAGGAGGCCTCTGTGCTAAATGTTCTTCAAAAGATTTTTGGACCCAAGAGGAAAGAAACTCTCCCCGTCCATTTGATGCCTGCTGTGTGCATGGAAGCAGGATTTTGTACCTTCCCAGTAAACATACAGGACTGCGTCAAAAATCCCTAACTGCATTAACAATTGCTTTGGCTGACGAAAATTTTCCAGAGACCTCAGCTTTGACTGTCCCCTTTGGTTAAAAAGGGACAACAGCTGTATATCTATCCCTCTGTAAGTGGTAAGACCTTCCCACATGGGAGACGCCTTAGATGGGGACATTAATAGAGGATATAACCACAGTCCGCAAACACCCCAGGGATGCAGACATCAAGGAAAAGGGAGAACTGTTTGGCATGAATTTAAGAACAGAATATTTAGTCTGATGCCATGACAGTCTCGGGATGCTGGGATCTGGCTGGCTTTGGACTCAGGGACCTCCAAGGGAAGTGGTGAAAGCTACATCACTTATTGTCACTTTAGGACTTGACTGACTCAGACATTGGGAAGTGTCTCAGACTGTAGGGAAGTGCCTCTTGGGCACATAGCTCCATTCCATGTCTCAGAGTCTTTTCCATCTCGAAGTCTGTGCAGGAACATGCCATTACAACGAATAGCAGCTTTTCTGACCCCTGACTAACCCAAACAGCATGCACAGCCCTGACTTTCATGAACAAGCCCATGACAGAGTGCCAGCAGTCCTCCTCGAGCAAGCTGCTGCACATCTCATACTTCAGATACAGCACTGCATAGAACTCTCACACGCACCAATTGCCAGGCCTGGTCTGCCAGGGGTCTGTTACAAAAGCAGTTGGGACCTGATGAGGATAAATAAAGAACATGCAACTTAAAATGGGAGACTGCCCATCTGACTCTCTCTTGGAAGAATTTTCTCTGCTTCTAAAATCTGACCCGTGCAGCTCCCTCCCTGACCTGAGGTCTGGATCTATTCTTGTTGGTGTTACTGGATGAATACTGCAGGAGGCTGAACGATGATGTATGATGCTGTCAGTCACAAACAAAAGGGGTGCATGCCCCTCTCCCAGGGCAGGAGACAGCAGTGAGGTGAGGGTAGGAAAGTGTCAGTCAACATTTGCCTCCCTTTGCAATGCTGGCCTCACAGTCTGCCAGCAGAAAGAATGCTAATCATCCAAGTGAGCTAGTTATTCTGCCTCTCACAAGTTGGTTGATAATAGTAATTAAAATTGCATTTCTTTATGAGGCAACTTTGTGTGGCTGTTGCATCTTAGGAGCTGGAAAATTTTGGAGGCAGAGTTCAGAACAGGCTCTATCAGCTGAAGGAGGCTGTAGCTGGGAGGAGGCTGGAGAGGCCACACTGACAGCAAAGTGGGGACAGACAGCACTCATGTAGCGCAGACCCTCCCACCATGCAAACTCAATTAGTTTTTTGATGTATTTTGTCTTTTCATGCTACAGATCCCATTATATTCTTAGTCCAATTAGAGTTATGGCTGTTAAAACCTAGAGCACGACTAGCTGGTTAGATTTTAAAAAAAAATGTGACCTTTTGCAGCTAAAAGCTTTTTCAAGAGTAAGCAGCATTATCCTCTTTTCTTGCCTGGGTGTTTTCCTTCAGCATAGGCAAGAGATGTTTGCTCTCTCCAGCTGGACCCCCTGCTCACACCAGAGTCTGGGCAGCAGCAGTAAATGACTA